CCCACAGACACACACACACATGCACACACACACTGAACGATAGAAAGATAGAGACAGAGAGACAGAGAGACAGAGAGAAGGAGAGACAGAGAAAGAGAGACAGAGAGGCAGAGACTGACAGACAGAGAAATGGCGATGGTGCAGGTCTATATAAAGATATGATGGTACCTACAGAAACTTTAATTACTCATTTCAGTTATAACATCGCCTCCCCAGCATTGGTTAAGACGTAAAATGGTATTCACACACGACCTGACGTTTTATAAAAGGTGGAGATAAATACAATATCTATTCCAGAATTGAGTGTGGTCACGTCGTTAGCCATACGACGTAATAGATGACTTGTGCAAAAAGAAGGTTGAGCTTCCAGAAATTCCTATAATATTGTTAACTTTGAATACGTATCTCAGTTATTGTTTGAATTATGTATTAAATTATGCATAAGCTGAAGATAATACAATGGGTAAAAACGGGTAAAATGCATTTCGAGCATTAAAACAAGTCAGCCATAGCGAACAACACAACATGATTCTCATGTTATACACCCCTGTCGTCCAATTTGGTTTTGTTTACTTGATTGAAGTCTTCTACCTAGCCTGTCAGGACTTTTTCGGGCTGTACTGGATATTACTTTGTTTAAGAAAGACGAAGATGAGCAATAAGCTACAATCAGTCGCGTAGGAATCAAACTCATACCTTCTGCTTTGATGGTGAGGAGGGCAACAGCAACAAATCAGACGCCTGAAACAGTTCTTCCATCTCCCAGACAAATTGTCTAGTCAACAGGAAACAACGTCGAAAAATGTCAACTGACCTTGCTCGATTTATTTAGGTCAATGTCATTTTCTGGCTCAAGGTCACAGGACAGGTTAGAGAACTCCATGACCTTCTCAGGGATCTTCCATAACACGTTTTTACGGTACATTATCCGTTTTTTCTGGAAAGTAAGCAAACACGTAAGATGAATTACTCCTTCAAAGAAAAGATTCCTTTTTCCAACACAGAATTCGCCAATAAATTCCAACGACATGGCTTGCTTTCCAGGAATTGAAGCTTCCAGATACTGAGCAACCTTGCCCCACTTCTTTCGTTGAGCAACAATGCAGCACTTCACTCACTCAGAAACAAAGCTGACGGATTTGCCAACAATTATTCCAGCACGCGCTCATTCTGCAGACTCACGTTTGTGAGAAACGTGGGTTTGAAACACTCGTGGAAAAGGAAGAGGAATGCGTCCTTAGACGATAATGTCCCAGTGTCCCTTGTACATTGCCCCGCACTGTTGTGTGTCTGAATAAAGACTGAAACCAACAGGACTCCAATACCACTCTATAAATGGTCAGACGCCACGGCCCCCACATAGTTATTATCCAGCCGTCTATAGAAGTGTATCAATGTACATTATGCCTTTTATTCACCAGCCATTGCTGGCTGCCCGTTAGGCAACAGCATACGTAACACCACAAGAAAAGAAGGCTTTCAGATGGCGAACAATCTATTTTACGGGGCAGAGAATAGCAGTAAATTCCTTTCACGCTAACCAGCACTCCTGAATATAGATTGTCGAGGTTGAGATAGTCGTTGTGTCGATGTTAAACGTTGTATGGGCTTCTGTTGTTTGGGGGAACAATGCCTTGCTCTATTCTTAGGCACAAAAATGTGGTGTGGGGCTTTCATTCTCCATGATATCGCCCGCAGAGGAAGGCGCGTGAAAAGAAAACGCCAGTGCTACAGAACCACTCTTCTTTTGGGGGGTCGGTTCCAACAAAAGCAGCATGGTTGGTGTGGTCTAAGAGAAGAATAGTAGCTCTTTCAAGCAAATTGTTGATTGTACTGTCAACACTGGTGCATACTCAATGCTCCCGACAGTTATGAGGGTGACGTTGCCGACCACAGGAAGAAAGGAAGAGAAGCCAGGGACTTTCTCACAGCAACAATCGCTAATACAAAATGAGGCAGGGTCCTAATGAGGGTGGCAGGTCGATGAGAGTGTTACACAAGGAGCGAGGATCAGGGTAGAAAGTGTGAATGATTGAGAGGGGGTGAGGAAAATAGGAACATTGGGGAGGGGAGGGAGGGGAGGGAGGGGGGGATTGTGGGGTGGACTCTCAATGGGTCTAGATCAGCGTAACTTTATGGTAGAATGGCGCAGCTGGAAGAAATTGATAAAGAAGCGAGTAAATAAAGTGTTCTAGAGAGTGTTGATAAGCAACAGGCAGGCAATATAGACAGGAAGGGGTTCGACATTTTAATGTTTACAAAAATACTGTAATTAAAAAATGAACTGTTAACGTAGCTCTTAAAAAGCGACTCTGCACAAATCGGATAACAACCAGGAGAAATCGTTTAACTCCAGTTTATAATTTTGTTGCTGTACGCTGTATCATAATGTACTTATGGGGCTCTTTGCATCATAACAGAAATAGAAAAGAAAAAAACACACACACACATAGGAGAGATCATGTTCACACACTAAAATTTGTTTATAAAAGCCATCTATGTTCTTCTTTCCCTGGATTCCCAGAGCGATTCGCTTCGCTTAAATTCACGCGTTGGTGTGGTCTTCGAGGGGGAAAATGCGGCATGACAGCAACAGTTGAATTTATCGCTACCAGAATTTGTAGAAGAAGAAATAAGAAGAGAAGAAAGAACAGACTAGAAAGGAAAAAAGAAAAAGAAAAAAACAACACCGACGACGACAACGACAACAATAACAATAGCAACAACAGCAATTAAAAAACAACAACAACAGCAGCAGCAACCACAACAACAACAGCAACAAAAACAACAACAACAACAACAAAAGCTGCAGCAACCAGAACAGAAAAAACAGTAATAATAACAACAACAAAAACAACAACAATAATAATAAGAACAACATTTAAAGCAACAAAACAAAACCAAAACACATAGATCTATGTACACTTATGATATTGACAGACAATAAGGCAGAATGCTGAGTCATGCTTAACTTGCACTGTTTTCTAATGTTTCCTTGAAAAAAAAAATGTTTAAAAAAAAGGAGCAAAAAAAAAAAAAAAGCAAC